AGATATATAACACTACTTGAACTCTTGACCCACTGGTTGAAGTTCGAGTGCCTAGACCAATAAAACAGCTCCACAACTTAACTCCAAGTGATCCATAGAGAACGAGTTTTCAACGCGATATGGTTGCTGATAAATGATAGACCTACGTACTAGAACTAGAAAAACGGAAATCGATTATGAATTCGTTACCGTATGGAAAACTAGTCTGTTATTAAGCTGCTTTCAGTAGTTGCACTGTCACACTTCAAACAGATATCTGAATCTTGTTTTGATAGTTCAATCAACAACCTTATACTTGCTTGTTGCTCGTTACACAAATTAGAAGAATGAATCTACGTCAGTGAACTCGTAAACTGCTGATGGTCTTAAGTGGTGATACTTTAGAAATTTAATTATTTCCTGTCGGGATTCATTATACAACAGCTGTACCCTTCCCAAACAGAAAGCATATTCAGTCTTTCATCAGCCCGTTAGTGGACACTTTCTTAGGTAAATACGCACATAGAGTTGATTTTGGAAAAGGCAGAGAACACATGGATTTCTCATTCTCACTAAAGAGTGATGATGTTACAGCACTACTGCTTAAGATGCAGACTGATCAAAACACGTCACTGTTTAGTAGGTCGAATTTCGGCTCTCATCCCAATACAACAATAGCTTTCAAAAATTAGAAGAGGCATAGATTGGCTTTAACTTCATCTGTTTGTATAGCTTAAAAGTGGGTTGAGAAAGCATCTTCGGATGTAAGTTTGGTATGCTTTACAATACTCATCATATAATTAAAGTACAGATTTTTATTATCTTAAGCTTAATGATCACGCCTTTGAGCTAGACGTCTTAATAAGACCAACACCTCAAAACTTTTGTGCAAAAAAGGAATCTGCCCAGATCAAATGAATACATCGAAATCGGTCGAAACGTCAAATACACTTCAAGTTGTCTCTGATTCGTTCAAAGCGACCTACCTTATCACAAAAGCGTTGGTAATAACTTTTGCGGAAGAATATAATAGCAATGAGTTACCACTATATATATGCAATCAGTAGCTTTTTGTATTATTGGAGTTCAGTATTCAAATGTACGGTTTTTAGTGTATACTTAAAACTTTCATCACACTTAAATAGATTCATAATTACCGCTGTGAAATCAAAAACGAAAAAATTCAGCATGTTGATATGATATTAACCCCAGTTGAATTACACTAAATAGTGAATTCTGGAAAAAACTTGAAGAGATGCTAAGCAGTGTTAGGTGATACGAGACGATATCGATGACAGTGTTATGTAAAACTCAAAGCTTTCTTTTTATGCAAATCTTAGCAACTCCATTTCTTATCTTTATATGTCATTGGAATTTCTGATCATTTGTATTGTTGACATACAAGACCAAAATTGGTCAGTTTCAGTAGTAGCCCAAAAGAGGACGGTCTGTTATCTTAAGTGATAGATGTCGAGATAGAGTCTCAGAAGGGATGCCAACACTACACTACATGTGCATACAAGCAACAGAGATGATAAAAGAGTGCAAAGATAAACGCAACATAAGAAGGAAATGGTAAGTCATGAAAAAAAAACAGTGGCTTTAAGACCAAGATAGACTGTGAATGCTTGTTTTTGTATACAAACTTCAGGTTCAAGTTCGTGAATAGCCAAGGCTAGTTCAAAGGAAAGTGTCTGATTATTCCATCCGCATTACATTCCAATTTACTGACAACGCTATAAAAAGGTCGAAACTCAGCCATGTTTTCGTCAGATGTTACATCACTGTTCGCCACTGCGCTCTGACCGAAGCTATCCGTTATACATGGGACTAAATTGATTCAAGTAATTTAGACGTAGGAATTCCAACACACTATCTCAGGGAGCATCTGATGAGAGGTACATTTAATGTTCAATTTAGTTTCACTAGCGAAGCAAACAGACAAAAGGATGGAATTGCTACGGAATCCTTCTTAGAAAACGTGATGATAGATTACTTTATGTCAGTACGTGAAAACATGATGCTGCGTCAAACTATTACTAGTCTTGATGTCTACAAAACATACATACATGATACGTTTTTGTGAAGATGTCGATTTAGATCCAGGCCTACACTCATTCAACAATTGTTATTCAACCTTTAAAAAGGATCAGAATCAACAATTACTTTTATTGACGTCTTACAAAGCATAGTAATTGATCATTAAAAAAATTCATCTATAGAAAACCCAAATGGAACAAAAAGCTTACTAATTTCCGTATACCAAGAAGGAAATAAAACTTATCTATTCTCTTTGTTATCAAGCATAGAATAGTTTTGGCATAGATTATGTTGAAGATGATTTAGCTCTCTTTAGAAGCATCACTACCGAGAATTATTGTCCCAGTAGTTTTGTTGACAGGATATATTAAGTTCAACTCAGTACATCTACTCGGTGCTAAACTTTCACTTACTCGGAATTTATTCAGGAGAGCTACAAAGCTCATCATGAATGAAGATGATAGGCAAACGGAAGTAATTAACATATTAGATGTATTACATCCCAACAAATACCCTAAGAATGTCATTCAAAAGATTCAGGAACAGGAATAGAGGGAACCAAGAGGGAATTCAAATAATGATTCTTGGATTAGCACAGTATTTCTACTGTTGCGCCAAGGTACAACTTAAGAGCTACAAAGAATCTTAAGGAAGCATTGAAGTAGGGCCTTTTACAAGACAACCAAAACTCTCATGAATGCTCTAGTCCACTTACAGGATAAAATCCCTTTTACCTCCACATAGAATTGTATCTGCGAATTAGGCTGTGTCAATTATGACGCCAATTATGTTTGGGAATCATCCTCATTCGGGGCTAAAGAACATGCAAGTTAGGCAAAACGACCACCAAATAATCCTGTAGAACTAGAGAATTTACAAACCAAGTCGGTAATCGTAGTTCATGTCATCTATCACAGTCACAAAATCGATACTGAAGATATGAAAATTATACAAAAAGGTTTTTTTTAAACTACAAAGAAAGAAGAACAGCTGAGGGGCATTTTACATTATGTTGAATCTTAATGCACTCAACAGAAAGGAAGGCCTAACTTTCCAACCAACCTGGACAGTATTTCCAAAAACAGTACATCACATACAATGATCAAAACAAAAGTGCATACTCACAAACAAACCGAATTTGTCTTCCATAGTATTTTTCTTACACATTCACACCCAGTCACATGTGCACATATTCACATCACCTTGAACTCCAGACTAATAATGGATAGCGAAGATAAGTTTGAACGTTTCCTGTTCAACATAACAATGACATTCATTATCATTTGACTGAGATAGCCGGTGGTCGCTGGTTCGAATCCGGCCGTGGTTCAGATTTTCATCTCACCTTCAACCATCAGCCAGTATAAATGACATTTATGTTCATATTATTATCGTATATAGACAATCCGATCTGATTCATCACCACTTACTATTTAAACAATCGATAACTTGTACAGGTTTTATTCTTTGAAGAAGCGATTTCCATAAAGTCGCGAGGCGTCAGAAATTTATTTTTCTACTTCACTGGGATTTTACAGATATACTTTGTTTATAGTTACAGATCTATGTTAAAACATATCTGAGCGCATAACCCAGCCTTGTTTTATAAGGGTGAATCGAAAAGTGTGAGACATAAACGAATCAACGTAGAACCTAACACAGAACTGCAACAGTTCAACTTGCCGTACTTCACAACAGCATGCAGAGAACAATTGGATAAAGAGTAGTCTAAAGTGTACGAGATGAGGATGAATGTTAAAAATGAAGGTTAATAAAAATGTTCGAATGTAAAAGAGTGAATGAATTGATGCCACTATGACTAATTTTCAATCATATCACCGACATTCCTCAACAATTAACTCCTATTATCTTGAGGACTCTAGTCAGGTAGTTAAAACCAGTAGACACAGCTCAGATCAACAGTCAGGGACTTCATGTACCGTTGCGAGATTTTGGTCTGACCATTCTTAACGTCTTCTCAACTCAGTCCTACTTTGGCTAACATTGTACGTCGACGCAGGCAGTGGCTCGATATGCACAACACATCCAAACCACTTCAGTCGAGATTCAAAATCTCATTGACTAACTTCCGTATTACCCTCCAAACTAACCTTAACATTTCTCACACAGCGATTTCACTACACGCAAGCAATGCTACAAAGATATTTGTGGTCAATAACCTCTTTTATCTCCTACTATACACGGCTACGTTTCACGGTCATATGATAGGAAAGAAGGGAGTACAGAGTAGTATACGTCCTTTAATGAGTAGTCATATATCCGACCAGCGTTAGAGATAGTGTAATTTAGCAAATACCGAACAGGTCTTTTGTATCCGAGCTGATATTTCGTCAGTAATCAACCCATTTGGGTTGATGCAACTTTCCAAGTAAGTGAAGTGGTCAACATATTGAAGCACCTTATTTCCTATTCTTAAACTGGTAGTTGGTTAGAGGTTATATTTCTGGATTGATTTCGACCACTTAACAGGCCCAAACAGTTATTTTAAGGTTGCTTATCGAACTTACTTGAGTATTCCATGTGACTTTCACCTTACACTTCCGGAAACAGAACAGGCCCTAGCTGTTTATCAGCTACGTCTCTAAGCGGTGGAAGTATTACAACTATGCAATTCATTATTACGACTAGTAATTATTTAAATTTTATCAAGGACTGTCTATCCTTCTGATGTTCGTGTTATATCCGTCTTCGTCATACGGCTTATGACAACAGATGATATTAGCCTTCTCATTTCGCTCCTTTTCTTGTTACCAGTCCCTTGACGTTTAATGTAAAGACGTGAACCAAAGCGCAATAACCTTAGGTTCTATGTGGTGCATGTCTTTCTGGTGCACTCAGAAATAAACTGCACAGTAATTTCAATAAGTTTACACTCATGCTTCACCTTACTTTTTGAACTAATGTGACTGAATTAACTCATAAGTTGGCAATTATGCAAAGCTTCCTTGAGAGATCTAAGAATATAAAGTCTTTTATAAAAGTATAAATAAGCTGAGAGTACAAATCATGATTGTGGTAAAGAACTAGGGGACAAAACAGGGACAACAATAGAATACGTGAACTAAAAAATGTAGGATGACAAAATATTTAGTGTTAAGTCAAGATTCCAAACCCACTAAAGGATCAAAATGAAGAATGAATGCAACGGATGCATTGATATCAATTTTTGCGCCCCATCACTTGAAGTATTTGTGAACACTAACTTCAACTGCCTAGCTGATCTGCACTAGGAAGTATACAATTACTTGAACTGATTTGATCATCATGAAGAGCATTCCAACCTACCCCAATCTCAGCTAATACAATGTATTGGTGCAAGTAGTGTCCAGCCACGTGCATATATCGCATCGATTTAGTGATCTACGGTTAATATCGGCGATATCTAAAGCATGCGATTACTGCTATTAAGGCATTAGTGATCAAATGACTGTAATTTATACAAACCTCCCACTTTGTGAGGCCATATTTCGCAGCAGTAAATTAGGATGAAGATCACTCTTTCACGAGAAACATGCTACTATATTCAGACACAGTTTCATTTTAACTCTCTTGAAAGTTGAAAAAGAAGTGTCAACATAAAACTGTAAACAAATAAAAAGAGATAGATGCAAGTTATTCATGTATCTAGAATATTTGAACATTACAGTAGATTCTAAATTTCGTCCGCAGTTATTATCTAATCCTTAGGTGTTATACCGGTCTCTCTAGCCAGTTCTTGAAGTGACTTCAACGCTTGTTCAGCTAACCGATCATTGTATTTCTTCAATCTCTGTTCTATAATAACCTTATTTTTCTTGAAAATTGACTCCTCCCTCTTCTTTAGATATGATAATCGTAAAGCTCCATAAGCAATTCCGATAAACAACAATCCCCAACGTGCTGTTCTTATAAGTGGGGAAATTTCTCGTGGAGGCGGAAGACCTTCTACAGCCATTGACTCTGACATCTAAAAGGTTTATGCAAGAATGTAGTAGTGTGTTAAAAAAAAGTAGTTCCTACCAGTTATACCTTTTAAAGTAATGATATCAAAAAAAGAACTGGTTATTACAATTAATACATAAATGTTCACACTGGAACATAACCATAAGTGGAATTTAAGATTTATCCCTTTAAGGCCATATAGAAAAGTGTAACCTTTGTCCAAAGTGGTTACTGAGTCAATAATGGGCTCTTCTTTACAACTTAAAAACAATAAATAATATGCAAAATACAATATCAACAGTGATTTTGTTCTTTCATAAGTTTGTTTTCAAATACTTCAAACGAAAATCGACGAAAAAACCTGATATTTAAAATCGAATGAAGTTAAGCTCAGTACAGTCCATAAAAATGTCTTTCTTGACAATATCTATGAATTGCACTCGTAACTATCGAACTAGCTGGCTTTAAATTATCTTATAACAGACGTTGTAGGAATCATCACAGTATTATGGAACAATAACTTTTTCTAAATGTTTAAACTGAATGAGTTAGGAGTTTCTACACTATTATGTAAAAAAGACTTGGTACCGAGAAATGCACTACACAAGGTAGTAAATCGACATTTAGGCTGAGAACGAAAGGAAAAAGAAAATGTTACCGGTCAATCACTCCGATGAGGTAAGTTGGAAAGAAGACTAATCGCATTTGTTTTACTACAGCAAGGTCACCATTAGTTTTTACTTTTGAGGGCTATTTGTCTGCTTGAATGAATAAAATACACTCATCAACTTTGTGCACATTCGTGCAGAAGGTAATGAGCCACAGCTCCACTTGCCTACTTGAGTGTTGAACCAAGGACCGCGAGTTCATAGACTCTGTCAAGAAAGTCCTAGACACTGCTTTTACGTAGTTGGAGTGCTTCCAGACTCTACGACAAACTAGTCTACTTTTTTCAGATACTCTAGCAAGACAACTTTTGTAGTATACTCAACGGGATAGCATTAGTGCGCACATACTTTCAGCAGTACAAACAGTCGTTAATGTACGTATAGATTTAGTGCACTGTGGTAAATGTAATTCCATACTAGATTAGTTTATTTGATACAGAACAAAGTGATGTAGTATTATCATTTGACTATCTGAGACAGCCGTAGTTTGGCAGATTATTATTTATACTGGGTGATGATTGAAGGTGAAATGAAAATCGGGACCGCGGTCGGATTCGAAGCAGCGATGACGTTTCGAGCAGAAGTAATTGCTCATAATCATTATTACCTTGTTATCTGTTATATCAAAAAGAGCAACCTAACGTGGGGGAAACAACCATTTGAACACAAGGGTTATTTGGGTAGACATTCATTTTTATTAAGACTTCCTCTGTTAGGTTGTTCTGGCAAAGGAAAACTGCGGATCTGTATTGTAGGAAAAAATTATCATAAACTGGCTGATAACAGTTTAAGATTAGGATTCGAAGGGACTATCAGTCACTTCTTATAACGTAAAAAGCTTATATCACGACATCAGCTATTTTTGATGGTGACAATTTTCAATACAAATAACTTACTTGCGTGGCAAGGTCTTGAGAATCAATGATTACAACATAGCCTATCTCAGTTACTATGACAAACCAAATCACCACCTGAAAGCAGTGGTTGACTGTCAAGATATGTACGCATAAAGCAGTTGCGTTTTATAGTCCTGAGGATATCCACCACAGTCTTCAGACCATATGAATAATTGAGTGTAATACTCGTAGTTAAAAATTTAAAACGAGCAGATAAGTGATTACTTCCAGGGAGGCGAACTGGATAGAACATATGAAGAACTGAATAGCTATTGACAAAAACAGACAGATAGAATCAATGTAGAACCACGCACATAAGTGCATCGATTCCATTTACCCCAATTCAGAGTAGTACACAAAGAACAGGTGGATAAAAAAGAGTGATGTAAAAGTAGACAAAGTTTTGTAAGGGAACAAACAATTTTAAGATAAAGGTTAGTGAGAATATTCAAGTTTTAGATGCCAAGGAGTGAATACATCTACGCCATTATGACTGATTTTTAGCCTAGTCATAAGGTCCTTAACCACCGATTCCTATCATCTCGCGTACCCCAGCCAGGGAGTCTAAAATCTCCGCAAACGAGTCAGACAGAAAATCACAGACTTCATTGACTGCTGCCATGTCTTAGTCTGGTCATCCTGAACCCTTTTCTAACCTAATCCAGCTTCCCCTAGTATGGCAGATCGAGGTAGGTAAGTCAACATGTGCAGCACATATCCAAGCCACCTCCGTCGATGAAAGTTCATAACTCCGTCAATCGACTAGCCTGTCTTGCATGGTACCCTTCACCTGACTTTAACATTGCTCATACGGTGATTTCATCAAACGTGAGCAATGCTACGAAGACACCTTATGATCAAAACACTGTAGCCGCTTCATGTCATCAACTTTGACAAGGAACCTAATATAACTCCTTTCCACAAAAATGCAAAACGATCGTACTATTCCTCGTAGGAAATCAGAAAGTTCTCCAACTTTTCGGCCCCTACTCACTGAACCTGTTTTCATATATCTGCAGCATATTTAAAACGCGAACATACCAATAAGGTCTCACATTCTATATATATATATATATATATATATATATATATATATATATATATATATATATATATATATATATATATATATATATATATATATATATATATATATATATATATATATAAGAAATCCATACGTGCTATAGGACTAAAATCCTGACGAAAAGATAACTTAAGAGAGAATGTTCACCTAGAATGATGAGCTCTCGTCTTTACTGCACATTGTATCGGGATAAATAATCTAATTTAGCTGCTGATTTACACAAGACCTTAAGCAGAGGAAAGTTACAACTGTTGATACTCAAAGGTTTTCAGATCATGACTCAGTGAGTTCTTGTCGTCACAAACTTTGGACTTCAATATATTACATATGAAGATCAAAACGTTACTCCAAAAACCTGCCATCTTTAGTCTGCTGTAAAGAGTGGTAAAAATGGCAACCAGTTATTGAAAAATGAGGAAAGGGCGATGGATTTCAAAAGCTTACTCTGAGGTGATGGATGCATATGAGGGCATTGTTGACAGACAAAAAGAGTAGAGTAGAACCTAACATATCGCAGCACTAGTTCAAGTACCATTCTGTACACATGAAACTGAAAAGGATCATATTACTATCCCCGGTATGCGATCCGTCCACGATAATGATTGGAGAAGCTTGGTATGCTTTTGATGTTTGTGACACTGATATCCCCATCGCCAATTATTCTTTGTTTAGGGGGTGACACATTGCATGGTATAGGAGTGGGGTCCACCTAAGGTGTTACATCACTATCACACAATGCTAAACCTCAGAACTAATGAAGCCGATAACTCCGCATAGATTAACACGAAACTTCTTCACTTCACCTTGCTAATTAAAAGGTGCATCCTCATTGGATTACGACGAGAAACGAGCACGCGTGTCTGCTCATGTGGCATAACCAATACATACAGCATAAATTTTGGGTAGTGAATTCAACACGTCTGCTATAACTTGCCAGTCAATAAGCCCTACAAAACTACTCGGTATGTCCATAAGTGCCACATCTCTATCTCGACGGCCTGGTCGACAATCCGTTCTTAGCCTTAGTTTGCATCCCCTTTCAGATCCTGTGACTAGTGGATTGACGGGAACGACCAAGCGCAATTCAACAGCTACTAAAGTCACATTAGCAGACTGGAAGTATCATGCTGGCGCTGCCTACCCTGGGAGAAGGTGGGGTGAGAGAATGCTGGCCGCAAAAATAGAACACCTTTCCCTGTCTTGAAGTCTTTTGGTGTTGGGCATGTGGGATTTTCTTATCCGACATCAGAACGACTAAACCTGCAAGGCAACAAGCCGCAAAGGACTGTATGTGACAGGCTGCTAGCATATGTCTCGTGGGCTCTAAGGTTACATAAGTCTTTTTTCCTTTCAGGCACCCTGGAGAAACAAGATCCATGGTGTGGGTCACCGAGAAGTTTCGACTGCTTGTACGCTCCTAGTAGTATACGAAATTAAACCGAACATTAAGCTTATTAAATCTTCCTTAACCTCTCTTCTGGGACCGTTGCCGACGATCACACCCACAGAAACCTCTACCTCAGTCTCCTAAGACGCCGTTATAGATTTCATATTGGGCTTTCTACGTCCGAACTCGATGTCGAATCTGACAGTAAGCATCGCTCAACAGAACCCCGGAATCGTAAGCCATGAATGCATGCTGTGCCTTTCAGAAACGTATTCAGGGTCCGAATGTGATTAATAAACTGACCTCACCTGGCCACAGCAGTGGATCTTCAAAATTCACCGTATGAGCATCCGGAGATCCTCGCGAAACCACTGATTGTAGGTACTAGATTTCTGTTGAGCAGAAAACACACTACTCGACTGCATACCTGTCAACAGCCGATCATGTGTTGTTCGACTGAATGGATCTGTAAAGACTAGCAAGAATCGTGAGACTGGCCGATGCTGATCCGTAATCTCCGCCAACGAACCCACCGACTGTAGTTCGGATGATGCAGAGTATGAATTCAATGAAAAGCTGTCAATTCTACTGCAGAAAGTAAAACATTCAGATGTAGTCATCATGGCTGGTGAGGTCAAGGCTCAAGCTACGCTAATCGTTAAGGCGCATCGAGAGTATCTACGGAGCCCCATGCCAACAAACCGACAACAGTGATCGTCTGATATAATTTTGTTTCAACAATCACTTGTTTCCGGTCAGAACTAATTTTAACCATAAGGAGAAACACCATTTTACATGGCATTCTCTGGCATTAAACCAGCAATGAACACACAGATCACATTGCTATAAGTCTGCCGTAGAAAGTGGTGAAGACAGTTGATAACCTACACCCGAAGGTTAGATGTCATTGGATTTCCGCGACGGCGTCTGAACTGATTGATGCTAGAAGACTGATTTCAGCTGGCTCTGACTATAATGAAGAGCGGA